GATAAACAATCAGTTGAGTGGTATGCACTTTACTGAACAGGACAGGATAATTATTAACCCATAAATAAATTACTTTTTTATGAGATATATTTTATGTGTGTGTCCTTGCACAAAAATTTGCAATGGACATTTTGGTCCGACAATGATTAAATTCTATTGTGAAAATATGCACGTAGTATCAAAATAAGTAAATTATATTCTGTTGAAGGGAATTATGCCAGGGCATACAAATTTAATACGTATTGTATGTATGTGTATATTAAATTTTTATTTTCATACACCCCCACATTTGGGAGCACAAACATATTTAAATTATTTACGCAGATATACAAAAATATTTTATTATTGAATAATATATGGCTTACAATAAAAACTGCGGCGATACAAATAAAGATCAGCTTTTATTAAAAATAACTGTAGTTTATATTTATACCATTATATTTTGAAACAGATGAATGTTTTTTTTTCATTATTAGTTGAGAATTGACGTTAAAAAAAGCATACATGAAAATACCTACAAACTCTGTCTGTTAATTTTTGGCAGTTTATTTTAAAAATCTTAATATTTTCTAATGAAACAAAAGTCTCTTATTTCGACGTAAATGTTGAACTATAAACAAAACTGGGGACCTTTGCTTTTTTAAAGGATCGTTTTTTGACCCACCCTGTCCTATTTATAATCAAAAAATATTTGCGTATATTTGAGATACTAACAATAATTTCATTAAAATAAAAAATCAAGGTGTAACCAGTTTTGCAATTAAATTTTATCGTTTTTAGAAATTTTGTTTTCAATATTGCACGTTACCCATTCTAAATATTCTGCATTATAAATCATCGACATTTTTGTGAAATTTTGTTTATAAACAATCTTTTTGAATGTCATAAATTTTCAATAATTGTATACAACACCTAAGTGATTTTAGGAATAAATTTATAAATAATGTTACTTGTTTAAAGTGTAAATAATTATGCGATAAGATATTTTAATTAATGAAATGCTAGAAAAATTTGGATATTTTAGAACGATTTAAAATACGAGCACATTAAAAAAAATTTGCTTCTTTCGATATTTTTATTTCTTATACAATATTTTTAAAATACAGTGAGTCACAGTCAAAAGTGTCCACATGGTTTTAATAATAAAATGCCATAATTACATGTTAATCAGTGAATTAAATTCAATATTATTAAACAAAAGCTATTACAACATCGCATTAAAAAGTATCCAAGATAAAACTGTTTTTAACAAATAAATTTTTTTGAAAATACTCCATAGTTTCTTAAAAACTTCCATTCTCGAACTATCTAGGACCTGTGTTTGGAGTCATTATCTTGATAGAATTTACATTTTGTTCCCAATCACAATTTTTCAGCATTTCAAACCACACAAATTCTGATTCTAAACATACCATACAAGTTTTAAATTTGCCAGCAAAAAAAATGTTTAGGATTGAAATTCTTCCAATATTTTTCTCTAGATTATATTTTACTAATTATTATAAAAGTTCACATTGCCTGTCAATGAACCAGTTTCCACGTTATGTGGCAATAAAGCAGCTGACGAACGGTGCTGGTATGGCTTCATCCGAAACAGAAGGCTTCAAGATAATACTATAACATCTTGTTTATATATTATTTTCAACTTGGGATCTTTCATACGATTTTAATGACTGCTAAACGAATGAGAGACAGAGTGACTTTATAGTACTTTTTACTTTACTTTTTTTGGCCTACGGCCATTTTATTAATACAAGTCTTACATATATTACAGGTTAACTGGCTTAAACCTAATTTACTTCATAACTTATCACGATTTTATTCAGCGCCTACTTTACCCTTAACAATGAGTGTCTCAGCTTAGCTGAGGACACTATCAACTCACTTATAACTATGCCCTATGACTCCAAATACCTGCAAACTACCTCGGCACAATCCTGGACTGTCAACTACGATGGAAAAGGATCGTTGAAGAACGGCCGAAGAGAGGGATGATTGCACTCTATGCATGCAAGAACTCCATTGGGAAAAGCTGGGGGCTAAAATCATCGACTATACACAGGCTGTATAACACTATCCTATGGTTCTCTTGTTTGGTGGAACTGTCTGAGCCTCAAGTTGACATCGAGTAAATTAGACAAGGTACAAAGAGCCGCCGCGATTTTAGTTACAGGAGCCAGAAGGAGTACGCCACAAGCAGCTCTGAACGCAATGCTGTACTTCAAGCCTCTGGGCCTCAGCATTAAGTTTCAGGCCGCGCGCAGCGCCTTAAGGCTGCATGAACAAAAACTCTGGCGGAACTGTACCTTTGGGCATGGTAGTATTCTGAATGAACCAGGTATGGCATTGGACCAACGCGCTAAACTAAGCGAGTATATATCTCCAATCCTGATATTTGACGATGTAGATGTCATTATTCCTCGTAGAGACGACTGGAAACGAAGTAACCCTCCTCTGGACGGTCTGGCCTTATATTCAGACTGATCCAAGAAGGAAGAAGGTACTGGGACAGGCTACTGTGAAAGGTTAGGCCTTGAGTTAACCTACATACTGGATTGCAACTGTAGTGTTTTCCATGCTGAACTCTTCGCGATCTGGAAGGCAGCAGAATTGATAAAAAGTCTGGATGCAGAGGTCGATGAACCGACCTCAAATCCGTCCTCAAGTGTAGAGCAGCTCTGGAAGAACTTACCTAAAGCTATCGGTTGTGTTGTGTACCAGGACATTGTGACATCTTGAGTAATGAAAGAGCGGACGAACTAGCTAGACGAGAATCTCAATCCACCGATCTAGAAAATGATGACTCAATCAAACCACCCATATGTGTTTTTTATCGGAACTTTAAGGCATTCTTTGACGAAAGAGCCTGTGAACAACGAACCTAGGTGCAACGTGTCTAGATCCATTTGGCCGACTCTGTCTACCAAAAGAACGCACTGAGCAAAGCTGAAATTAGAGTGATGACGGGAATCATCATTGGTCACTGCAACATCAGGGCTTTTAGTAGTAAATGGGATCTTGATGCAATTGATTGCTGTAGACTCTGTATTGACGAGGAGGAGACGGAAACAATTGAGGATCTCCTGTGTCATTGCCCAGCCCTGGCTTACAGGCGGCACAGAATAGTGGGTGCTCATTTTCTACCGAGTCTCAGCTTCTTCTCAACAACCGAACCTGCTCTAATCTAAAGCATAATTAGAAACCTAAAGTGGTTAGGAACATACAACCTTGACACGTAACACATCTTCTGTCTGACTCCTAGATCCATCGACCTTCATTACTCTTTCATTTAATTATATAAGCTTCTCAACTCTCCTTCCTCTTCACTGTATCTCTTCTTGTGGATGATCACAACGGACCTAACCGGTCTCAGAGTGCTGCAGCCACATAAGTGACTGCACATCCCCAAACCTCCAACTACAAACTATGCCTCGAAAAATAGAATAATTATAGCTTAAATAGAAATCATATAACTAAATTGTTCTACGTAGAGCAAGCCTAGCTCATTCATTATAGCGAGGGTTGCGCGTGGCAGGTGCTTGCGAGAACGCAGCTAATCTGCATTCTCCACTATGCTATTCTCAATAAAGATGTAATTTTAAGGTACTATTTACAAAATATTTACATAGTTGCATATTAAACACTGAATTCAAATATGTAAATAAGACTTAAATACTAAATGAAAACGTGGATGTTTACATTAACGCAAATAAAATATTTATATGGTTTAACTTAAAGACATAAACTAAATAAAAAACAATTGATCCGTTTCATTTGTAAGTATTCCTGGAACTATTAATCATGCACTGTAGAGTTGTAATTAAATCTGAGTCGTTGTGTACCACTTTCTTCATAATTCGCGTTTAGACTATAGCTTTTGTTGTGATAATGTACATTATCTCAATTTAATTCCTAGACGATCTGAATTTATTTCGATTTGATTTTAAAATAAAAAAATGTCTTTTACCATGTCAACGAACTTTTTGTTTCTATTTTCAAGATATTCCGCTAATAAATAAATTTTGAGGTGTGCCCAATTGTGGCTTGAAGAAAGTGTACATAACAAACTTCTCAAACTCCAATGGAATGTGTCGATTTTACACAGGAACCAAATCAATTGAATTCAATAAAACATGTTGACTATCCACCCCTAAGCTATTATTGGATAAACCTATCTTAAGCCAATCTGTGAAATAAAAACAAAGGTGTACGTACCTACGATATTTCTATAAAAAATCTTATCACAAAAGTGGATGACAAAACAAGGGTTAGAATGAAATGTGAAAAACAACAAATATTCAATATCTTTAACTTAGCTCTTAGCATTCTGAAGTAGGTTTCAGAAATGGTACATTGCTGGTGATATGTGTAGTAGATCACGTAAACACCAAAAAAGGTAAACTGGCGACGGACGCATGGACGGACATTATTTCAAGATTCCACCACTGCGTCACAGAAAAACAAAGCAAAATAAACAAACAAACAAAAAAACGTAACATTCCAACGTGGCTGTGTTATTGTCTGCACAACTGAAACGCGCGCTTGCGCCGCAGTTCGTTCATACGCGAAACGTGCCTGCCAATTTCATAAATTATACGTGCATATTTTTATTACGATTTACAGACATCAACAAATAGCAACAACGAACAAATTTAGTTTGAGTATACCGGCATTAGCCAATAAAATTTTGTTGTTATTTCAAATTTATCATTATAATTATTAATAAATGCAAATAGACTTAATTCACGGAAGTGTCTAAAAAAATGATTATTTTCTTAATATTCCATGCCAAAAAAAAAAAAAACAAAACAAAAAATGAAAACAAAGGTTCACAAACGCAAATGTGTTCATTTTTTTGTACCTTAATTGGAATAATGAAGGTGATGGATGGGTGACTGAATGAATGAATGGACGACGCTGATGTTTAGTCAACAACAATTTATTTCGTATTTGTATGTATTTACATATGATATTGTATGTATATTAATAAGTATGCTTACCAATTGTTTCATCATAGCAAAATTTTTCCTCGAAACAATTCCAATAAAAATCTTCCCAACAGCTGAAAAAAAAAACAAAAAATGCAATTAGCGAGATATTTAATAATATTTCATATTTTCAGTAATATATCGACAATCTGTAATAGCCTGTAGTAATTCATGGGTTATTCCAATATATTTATTCACAGTACTATATTGTCAGAAAAAAAATAATAAACTTTTTAACACTACGTATGATAAATGACTCAGCATAGGATTGAAGCTTATCTTAATGATTTTACAATCTACTAGCAACGTCATCGAATGACATGCATTTAACTTTATTCCAGAAACTCCAAGAATATATATATTGACTATTATATATATATATTGACTATTATGTTATACTAATTTGTAATGGATATTAAAACATATTTATAGATCAACCTAACTCAATTTTAAACAATGTTCCAGAAACTGTAAAATTTGCTATTTGTTCCCAAATTTTTGCAATTTTAAATAGACTAAACAAAATTAGTAAAACCTAATGTCAAATTTAAGCGAGATTGAGAGGGGGTTTGGATCTTCAATACAAGGAAAATCGAATACCGTTATATATGGTTATTTCCAAATTTAGACGAATTTGGACAATTTATCCAATAAACCCACAAAAAGGTGGAGTGTATACAAAACTATTTTTTCCCTTTGCAATGCCTTAAAATAATCGTCGAGTCCTCATTAAGAACATATATTTTTGAATAGAATATAGGCATGTCTATGTCGATTTAAACTCATCCGTTTATCCGTCTGTTAAAATTACGATAAAGTCAAAAATATTTAAGATAGTGTCACTCCTTCTAAGATGTTTGAAATTGAAAATGGGATATATCGGTTTAGATTTTGAAGGTTGTACGCACACTAAAGGACCATTAATTTGACATGTTTAGAAATAGGTCCTAGACATATTTTCTAATCTATATGACTGTAATATGTATATGCCATATGACTGTAATATGGCATATACAATTATGATTTGACAAGTCCAAAAATCACTGGTTCCCAATAATAAAAAAAATCGATCTTATTATTTTTTTCCTGTCACTGTATATATAATGGCGAGCAAAAATAAGGACATGTTTGCATTTTGAAAATTTTTGGTTCAGAAACTAATATAATACTTCTGCATGTTAGGGCTAATTTGAAGAACAGAAATGGAAAAAAATTGAAATTCGTTTTGTTTTGATATTGAAAACTCACAGTGAAAATTATCCAAGATAAAAGTTTTCTTTTAAAAAAAGGATTTTTGTATGGTTAATACAAAGTATGATATCTCTTGTTATATTTTACAGCTTTCAACCTTGCCGGCATAGATATTACCAATTTTTCCGTGTAAGATGTCTGAATTTTTCCCCATTCTGCTTGTAAAGCATTTTTAATTTCAGATTTCCTACTCCGGTAGCGCTCATACAGTCCCATACAATTACAGAGCCTCCTCCATGTTTTACGGTCGGAATTATGTGCTTCGGGTCCACGGCTCTATTCGCCCTGCGTCATACCTTACTTGATCTATCCGACCCAATCAAGTGAAATTTGCTTTCATAAGAAAAAGGAACAGATTTCCAAAATGCAAAATCATATTTTAGAATTCCTGCATTCCTTTTTCAGCACCATGCTTATGCAAAATTCTTCAAATTGTTTCTGGGTTACATATATTTTCCAGACATTTCTTTGCGTTTTCAGCAAGTTTAGGTGCACTTAGCCTTGTATTATCGACCACTTGTCGGAGCAACCACTTTTCGTCTATTATACTGAATATTTTTTCGGTCATTGCTTGTTGCATTTTCGACTTTGAGTACTCGAATTATGGTATTTTCCGTTGAGATTTTCCTGGAATAGCAGTCTCTCCATATTGGAGCCATATGGCATAGTTTTTAGTGATTTGGTTGTGTTCTCAGATTAGCTGAGACACTTATTGTTAAGGGTAAAGAAGGCGCTGAAAAGGTGCATGATAAGTTATGACGCAAGATAGGTTTAAGCCGTTTAACCTGTTATGGATGTGAGATTTGAAACAATATAATGGCCGTAGGCTAACAATGGTAATGGTAAATCGATGTGTGGCGTCCCATGTTCTCAAATTCTTACGATGGCTATCCAAATAAGCAAACTACGCATAAAGCATAAGAAAAATTCTGATGCAATATTTAAGGGGACCCCCCATTCTCGGTGTCAAAAAATTTTATTTAGTTTTTCGAATCTACACTTATTAAAGAATGCCCCTACAAAATTTCAAGTGAAAATCTCAAGAACTCTTGAAGATATAGTCGATTTATTGTGTCAGCATCAAGTGACGACAAGAGTGACTCTCAAACTTTAAACGCATTTTTCTCAAATCAGTATGGTGGGCACGATAACTCATAAACTAATAACCCAATCGATTTCAAATTTTGGGACGCTTCTCTGTGAGTATATAGCTATCGTATGAACTAGGATAAAGTCAATCGGTGAAGATCTTAATTACTTTTTAACTTAGTTTGTGGACAAAAATAGGTGATTTTCCAAAAAAAAAAAATCAAAGTTCGGCCATTTTGTTAATTGTTGTGCGAAGTCAATAATCCTAGTTCATACGAGAGCCAGACATGTAGGGGAGACTGGGGCACCTTCGTCACTTTTTTTAGAGCTCTATATCTCAGTACTTATTCAACATATATAACAACTTTATGGCTGATTATTGTCCTCTGACACTTAATTATAAAAAATAGTACCAAAAAGATATAATAAAAAAATAGTATTAGTAAACAAATTTTACAGTTTTGTAAAAAAAGTCAAATTCGCCGAATGTGCCCCAACCCGGGGTAGCTTCGTCATTTTATGGGGCACATTCGGCACCATAGTCATAGCCGGGTAGTTGTCATCGCTATCAGTCTGGTTGAAATACTGATCCTCTAAAGGCTCTATTTGGTTTTAATACGCCACACAATGTTTGAATTATAGGGCTTTATTTTCTAGCGGCGGACGTTTACATCTCAAGGTCGCACACACCATCAGAAATAGGGATTTTCTATCGCATTTTCGACAATACAAGCACGTTTGATCTTATATATGCAATTTCGAGCCATATTAAAGGATTAGTTTTAAAGACAAACTCAAAAACATTTTAAGGAAATAATATTGCACAATCTGTATATGGCTGAATGTGCCCCACTTTAAAATGCCGAATGTACCCCGAATGTACTTTTTATAGTTTTTTTCATTTTTTCGATCAGATTTGTAAAAACATTATACAGGTACCATATATATATAGGTACCATTCAATTAGGGTGCATTTCTGGATTTCGTTAATCGAGTCGATTTAAAATCGTATATGTAAATGTACTTTTAGATTAGTATTAAATGAAGTGACAGGCAGTTATTTGTGATACTAATGAAATGCGACACCGTTTGTGTACAAAAAAAAAAATACATCTCACTCTCTGTATACAATAGTTGTCAAATGCAAAAATGGAAAGAAGCAAAATAAAATAAATAATATTAATTTAATTATTATGTTTAGCAGGAATTTCTTACTTTCCAATTGATCACAGCATTGTAGGAACATTTCAATTGTAAAAAGTTTCCTTTCCATTTTACAAATTTCAAACAAATATAATTTGCGCGAATTAATAATTTAGTATATATACAAACAGCAGCTGATTGTCATTTAGATCATGATCAAAGGTACACATTAGGGTGTAATTCTGTATATCGTAATTCTGAATATCGTTAATCGAGTTAATTCAAAATCGTAATTGTTCTTTAAGACTATATTATAATTTAAATTAATTTTATTATTAAAAGTGTTTTTATTTGATTTAAATATTTGTATCGATGACGAATGATTCCTAACAAAATATTCTACTGTGCTTAGTCATAAATTTATACCGGGTATTATATTGTTATTACCGACGGCTGGGTATAAGGTTTAAAGTTTTCTTTTTTACTTACTTTTGACAACATCGGCACATATTTACGGCTGGAACAATCCCAATAAGTAATGGTGAATAGATGTCTGGCCACTTGTTGAATTTTTTGATTGAACAAAAAAAAAAAAAAACAACTCAAACCCGCTATGGCTTGTTTACATATAACTTGTTGCTCTTTTCGAGTTAGTTTGTTATGAATGACGATGATGACGACGACGTCGGTGCGCAAGATAACTATTTTTGTATATTAATGGTGCTGAAAATAGGCACATGCACGTTTGATTTGGGCAAATTGTTATTGCTTGTGTATTTTACGTTTATTACCAACTAATACCCGGCTATGGGGTTGGTAGTTTTTTTTTTTTGGTTTTGTTACCCGATTGTTAATCGTGTTTTAATCAGCAGCTAATGCCGATATGAGTTAACGTCTAGTATTCGTTTATGTTATTGTTGCTCTTTTTTCGATTCGTTTTTTGTTGTTTTCTTTTATCTTTTTCTGCGGAGTACGAATATCGTCGACGACTGCAGCGTATGAGGTTTCATATAACTCTAAATGACAGTATAAATCTGAGTATGGTTCACAGCGAAGAAGACCGCCACTGTCACAATGATGTGTGCTCAGTTGCGAGCGTAAATGTTAACTGAGCAAGCACACTTTGTTAGGAACGAAGCAACCAAACGATCGATTGGAAAGAGTACCGTGCCTACCATAAGAATACCCCCGGTGTTTATTGAAGAGAGAATAAGAAAATTGCTAGACGCTCACTTAATGATCCTCAACTAGGGCATTACGAGTTAAGTGTATACTCAAAGTAAGTGCAGCCAGGTACCCGCCATTTCAAACTGGCCAACGTTAAGAACGTGACTATTGCTACTGTTTTCACCGCGGCGTTTTTTTTCCAACTGGGGGTGAGGGGTTGTAATTTAAATGAATGTGCAAAAAAAGTGTGATTCAAGTAATTAACAAACTATTTACATGTCAACACCTGTTTACACATTTCATGGATAAAGAAAAGAGAAGGAGAGACAGTATCCAAAAAGAAGAAGTACACAATGTATACAGAGAGTGGTATATAACAAAAATATATTTAATTTAATACTCCAGAGAGTTTGAAAATAAGAAGAGTAACTTCGGAAGTGATCGTTGTTAATACGTTGGTGCACATTCTGTCATAATACTTGTTTAGTATTTTATTTATTCTGTATAAATAATGTAGTTTTTTTTTAGTTTACCAGTAAAGTTGTTGATTTGTTCCGGTCTTACTTTCAAACAACCGACTTCACTCACTAATCGTAATATACAAAACAAAAAACTCAGGAATAAGTATCATAGTCAAGTAATGTCTCTTCACAAATTCCTTAACAGTTTAGCAGGCTTGCCGTAATTATGAAATAGTTTTATATTGTGGGGAAAATTTTCACTTGGGTGATTTTGTAGAGTATTTAAGCAGCAATGGCAGCCCCAAGAGTTTGTAACGCCGCGAAATATTGGTCCTAGACCCATCGTACCGATCGTCATATATCGACTAGCTGAGTCCATCTAGACATGAGTATCCGTCCGTCCGTCCATTTTAATTTGTAAACACGATACAGGCCACAGTTATGGACCAATCTTCACGAAATTTGCATGTAGGATGGATTCTGGCCAATGAAGACCCCTATTGTTTTTGGTAAAGATCGGTTAATATTTAGGGGATGAAATGGACCAAATACTTAATTTTTGACGGTTTTTCTGGGCGCTTCAGAGGCCGCAATTATGGCCCAAACATCGCGAATTTTTACATGGAGAAGGGGATCGGGCCAAAGAATAAATATGTCTGTTTTGATAAAAGATCGGTCAATATTTAGCGGGTCAAATGGATCCATACTTTAATGTGAAAAATGACAAAATTTGTATTCTATGGCATACATATTTACTCCTGAAGGACATAGACCCGAGAAATTAATAGTATATCGAAGAGGAGTTGTTGGCCTTTAAATTGACACCAACTATATTGTCGTATGTGCTCAGATATGAGAGTTGCACTTAAATATTTACAGGTGCTTACGTATGGTCAAGGAAAACGCCTATAATTTGCGGTGATGATCAGATAATAATTTTGAGATAAAGTGAACCAAAAATTATTATTGTGTTTTTTCAAGTCGACCTATATGCCACAACTATTTGCCGAATATTACGCTAGAAAATGAATCCGTCCAAATAATTTGAGCTTTTGTAATGATCTGTCACTGTTCAGCGGGTCAAGTCAACCAAGACATTTCTGTGTAAAATGAAAAAAATTGGATATTATGATATAAACCAGTGAGCGGAGCAGTATAGTCGGACGGGGCCGACCATGCGATACCCTACACAACTACCACGAACTCTAACTTTCTGAGGATGTTTATTCCGAGTCTGAGTAATATTTCGTGATATTTGCCCCCTCTTGTCCGATTAGAGGTTAACAATACCTCTTCCTTACTTTTTTCGAATATTCAGTACAATCCTTCTATTTACTTGTCCACATTACCTTCACGGTAGGTTGTGATTTTCGGATTATACTCTACTCTAAAACACACAAAAAAATTTTCGGTCCATTTCATCCCAAAATTTTAATCTGATCATCACCGAAAATTGTAGGCGTTGTTCTTGACCATAACTGGAACTTCATGAAAAATTTCAAAGCCATCAGCGCGATATTTCTCCCTCTAATGTGGTAATGGGTTACTAAATAATATCTGAATACGTAAGCACCTGTAAATATTTGACTGTAACTCCCACATCTGAGTAGATACATCACTATATTTGGTATCAATTTAAAGGAAAACCACTCCTCTTGGATATGCTATCAACTCCTGGGGTCTACATACTCCAGGAGTAAATATATATGCCATAGAATACAAATTTTGTCATTTTTCACACAAAAGTCAGGGTCCATTTGACCCGCTAAATATTGACCGATCTTTATCAAAACATGCATGCTTATTCTCTGGCCCGATCCCCTTCTCCATTCGCGGTGTTTGGGCCACAATTGCGGCCTCTGGAGCGACCAGAAAAACCGACAAAAATTTAGTATTTGGTCCATTTCATCCCCTAAATATTAACCGATCTTTTCCAAAAACAATAGGGGTCTTCATTGGCCAGAACCCATCCTACATGCAAAATTTCGTGAAGATTGGTCCATAACTGTGGCCTGTATCGTGTTTACAAATTATAATGGACAGACGGACGGACACACATGTCTAGATCGACTCAGCTAGTCGAGATATGACGATCGGTATACTTAAAGGTGGGTCTAGGACCAATATTTCGCGGCGTTACAAACATTTGGGCTGCATAAAGCTATAATACCCTGACAACATAGTTGTGTAGGGTATAAACATAATTCGAAATAGATGGCAATGCAATAATCGATTAAGAGGGTGCAAATATCGCGAAATATTGCCCATTCTTAGAATATAGATCTGCAGAAAGTTAGAGTTCCATGGTAGTTGTGTAGGGTATCATATGGTCGGCCCCGTCCGACTACCCGTCCCACTATCCCATTTTCAATGCCAATATTTCAAATATTTAAAATAGATTTCTGAAATTTTGTAAAGACATTGCTAGTACTCTGAGGATGTTTGGTATTGCGAATGGAATATATCGGTTCACGTTTTTGTAAATTTAACAGTACTCTCCAATATTCTCTAATATTTTGGGGATTTTGCACACGTTTTCCAAACGAATTGGACATACTTTGGATATTTTTGGGTTCTCATCGAATAACACATATCCGTACCAAAATGTTAATATTGGACCAAGTTTTAGGGTAGTCCTCATATAACGGCACCCCCAGTATTCGCTATTTTGGGGATTTTGGACAGGTTTTGCCACCAACTTGACTGTAATTTTGCTTTTTTAACGATATATTTTCCACATTTCCGCACTAAAAATTATTAATATTGACCCAAGTCGGTATTTTGAGAATTTTGGACACGTTATTCAACCAAATTGGCTGTAATTTGGCTTTCTTTTTGCAAACTTTTTACTCGAAAAATATGTCCGAGTAAAAATGGTAAACAGGAATACCAACTTCTGATTGGCTGTTATGTTAATTTTAAAGTTTTGCCATCTAATTTTGGCATATTTACTAGATTTGGTATCATATATTATTATATAGTCGGTCTCGCCCGATTTTTAACTTTCCTTACTGGTTTCTTGATTTCATCTATTTTCATTTCTAAAATCTGGTCGTCTCACTGGATATGAATGGTATTGAAACTGTGAACCATATTTGACCAGAATATTCGAAAACACAACATTAGTCATAAAAATGACCTGAACGTAGGTCTGCATCAGTATAATACAATCTTGAATTTATGGTCTTATAAAAATTTTATGAAACAGGCTGTGAGCTGTGCTTTATGGGTATTTTGTGTTAAGTTAAAAATTAGTTTAGAATTTTATTAATAATCCACTTTTTATAAAAAAACGGGTTTTTAATTATAGCTTCAAAGCTGTGTAGCTTCGTTTCGGAAAGGTGTAATAATATAGAACTTTGGGTTGTCTGAGGGGCATATTAGTACAAATATATTAATCTAGATCAATGCTTTGACCTTTATTTTTTGTGTTTTGTTATAGACAAAGTTACAGAATCACACTGGAGATCTTTTATAATGCCAGTTTTCAATATATTCCAAAAATCTTCATAAATAAAACGAAATGGCAACTCTGCTCGCACAACTTCATTCACTATAGAGTCTATAGTGAATCTATAGTATAGACTTTGTCGTGGGATTTTTAACTTGTTACTCTTGTCGTCTGTTTAACTTTCGTGTGAGCGCACAATCGCATTGTATTGTATTGTTGTTTGGCGTTGGACGTTGTACAACAATCCGTCATTGGTTTCAACAACTCTGTTATTGTTGTTGTTATTATTGATGATGGTCGGTTCTTCTTGTTTGTACGGTGCGGCATGGTGTTTGGGTTGTTCAGTTTCACTGTTGTCTGATAAAACGACAAAAAATAATGCTGAGTTTGCATTTTGATAAAAAAAAATAAAGTTATTTATATTGTACTGAGAAA